TCTAAAGTGAAAGATTGCCTGGCCAATGTTGCTCAGTGGTTGAGCATCAACCCACGAACCAGGAGGTTGCCATTAGATTCCTGGTTGGGGCACATCCGGGTTGTGGGCTCGGTTCAGGTCCCAGGTGTGGGGTGTGTGGGAGGCAGCCAATCAATGATTCTCATCATTGATTTTTCTGTCTCTCCCTCTCTCTGAAATCAATAAAAAATATATATATATTTTTAAAGTGAAAGATTGCTCCTATTTTCATTCTCCAAGAATAACTTAATTTGCACAGACCTCTTTCTATGCATAAAATATGTGTATGATTATAAGTATATGTAAAGATGTATATACATATATTCACACAATATACATGTATGGAAATCCACACACTTGTATATTGTGTTTTTTTTAAGTAGGCCATATGTACTATTTTGCAACTTAATTTTTTCACTTTGCAATGTATTGTGGACTTCCTCTCACATTAGTGTATGGAAATTTACCTCATTTTAAAAAAGTGACAGCATAATATTTCATTGTATAGTCGTATCACAATTTTTTTAAATTAAATTATTTTTTTTTTAGAGAGAGAGGAAGTGGGGAGAGAGAGAAAAACATCCATGTGAGTGAGATACATGGGTCGGTTGCCTCTCTTACATGCCCCAACCGAGGATAGAACCCACAACCTAGGCATGTGCCCTGACAGAATGGAACCTGAGACCTGTTGCACTGGATGACATTCCAACCAACTGAGCCACACTGGCCAGAGCTCACAATTTTTCCCTTTTTTGGGGGGGGTGGTTATATCACAATTTAATGATTGACTTATTGATGGAAATTTGTCTGCAATCATTCACTATTACAAGAAATACTACTACATATATAAACTTGCTTATGTTTTTAGTATTTATGTAGGATAGATTTTTAAAGAAGGAATTGCTGGGTCAAAGGATGTGTGCATTTTACATTTTGATAGATACTACTAAGTTGCCTTCGTAAAGAGTGCACTTTAGGCTCCCACTTACTTAACACTTGGAGTGCGGGAAATGAGTTAAGTCGGCTCGCGTGAATTGCGCGTACTCCGCGGGAGCCGTCTTTAACTCGGTCATATAGATTTGCGGTGGAGTGCGGGAAACGGTAAACTCGGGCAGATTGTAACTGCGTATTACCAAATATTTGTTTGTAATCCACCCTTTTGGTGGATGGAACAAAACCAAAAGACAGAGCCATCTTATATTTTGGCGGGAAATTCACCCGCACTCCAAGTGTTAATGAGAATTTCTGTTTTCTTATCGAAAGTGTAGAGATTCCTGTTTCCTCACAGTTTCTTTGCCCAAAGTGGCAAAATATTAAACAATTGATAATTATCCAAACTATTTGGTGAAAATGGCATTTCTTAGTTTTAACTTGTATTTCCTGGTACATTTAGTTGTAATAATACCACTGTCAGGTTTTTAAAAAATTCCCCGCACATTTTGGTTCTAAAAGAAGCATTTATTGCTGGTAATTGAGAATCCCTACCACTCCTCACTGTAGATAAACAATAAATATTTAAACCCTTTGCACTCCGCTGTCCCCTCTCAGGGGACATCGGAATTCTAGCATATCACTCGGATGTCCCCTCTCAGGGGACATTGCAGTTTATTAGTGATTACGGGGAATTGAGTTATTTCAATGCAACTTTTTGAGACATGCATGTTTCCCTGAAGTTTTATCTTGAAATGGCACAAGAAATTAAATCAAAATATCGTAAAATTACTAAGATATATACAAGAAATGTCAGCGGGTTTTGTGTCGGATTAAACAATAAACTACATATTCCCGATGTGGGACAAAGAAAACGGGACTGCATTGTGTGTTCTAACAGGAAAACACCTGGTGGCAGGCGTCAAACCACTTATTACTGTCAAACATGCACTAATCAGCCTGCAATGCATATTGGGGAGTGTTACAAAACTTATCATACTGTACAAAATTATAAACAATAAAATATTGGTTTTTTTGCAAATATACATTCCTCGATGTCACCCAATTCATATAAGTCCAATATCATTATAATACGTTACTTGGTTCCAAAATTATACTAAATAATACGAGGGTCTGTAAATGCACGTTGAAGCATTTATTGCTGGTAATTGAGAATCCCTACCACTCCTCACTGTAGATAAACCAACACTTAATTAAAGGCCCTGAATGTGTCTAGGCTTCTTCCCACCTGACTTGGGGAGGGGGGAGTGAAGCAATTAGCCTGGAGGCAAAGCAACATTATCTGAGGTGCACTCAGGACCAATACTTTTTTCTCAGGCTGGCACTACTTGAGGCCAAGCCCAGAGCAGCATTAACAGCTTAACTACAAATTCATCTGACCTCAGGGCCAACCTCCTAACTCGGGGAAATATTACTTTGCCTCTTGGGCCACCATCTCTCCAGCTTGGACCTCGGTTATTTCTCCCAGATCTAAACCTTGGATTAGCACTGATGGGTAGACATAGACCATGACCGAGATGGTGAATGAAACCAAATCTTGGTTCTTCCAGTTGGCTGGCCACCACACGTCAGTCAGAAATGAGCAAGCTTTTAGTTGGTCCTATGAAATAGGAAGCACATACACTCTTCTGATTGGTCTCTTAATGCGACGGTTGGGACACAGGGAGACCTGCTGGTTGGCTGGAATGGAAGACCAATGGGGACGCCGTGGCACTGCTTTCGAAAGCAAAGCCTGTCCAGAGGTGTCTGGAAGAGTCCTGTGAGCTCCTGCGGTTTAGTTGGTAACTCCTTCCCCCACCCCACAACCCTCAACCCCGCCTCCCACCCCGTCTCAAAGTGTCTTCTCTTGTGCCACAGCAACTCAGTCTGTAGTCTCCCAGACAGGCATACCTCAGAGATATTGCTGTTTCAGTTCCAGAGCACAGTAATAAAGTGAGCATTGCAATAAAGTGAGTCATATCTTTTTGCTGGTGGAGGGTCTTGCCTTCAATTTGTAAAAAACACAACACCTGCCTGACCAGCAAGAGGAACCAGGAGGTCACGGTTCGATTGCCGGTCAGGGCACATGCCCAGGATTCAGTCTCGATCCCCAGTGTGGGGCGTGCAAGAGGCAGCGGATCAATGATTCTGTCTCATCATTGATGATTCTTTTTTTAAAAGAACTGTGACCTCCTGGTTCGACACTCAACCACTGAGCCACACCGGCCAGGCCAAGGACATTCTTAAGTCTGTGGTGGTGAAAACAACACCACCACACGACTACACTTTGTTGCCACTGCCTTGATGAGCACTAAGGCACCAGCAGCTTTACCCATCTTTGCTTTTTCTTTTCCTTTTACCTTTGCACCATCAGTGCAAATGCCAACACAGTTAAAAAAAAATAGCAAATAATGTCTTAATACTATTATGAAAATAGTTTTGAATCTCATAGACCCCCTGAAAGGGTCTTGGAAATGCCTGGGGATCTATGAACCATACTTTGAGAAGATCTGATCATCTTCTCTGGGGCATGTACCCAGGAGTGGTAGGTATAAATGATTTGTCATCTTAGAGTTACTGCTGAATGCCCCTCCAACATGACTCTACTAGTTTATGCTCTCCGCAGCAGGGTGTAAGAGGTCTCATTTCTCCTTACTCTTACCAACACTGAATATTAAGTTTTGCCAGTATGATAGGTAGAAAATAGAATCTCATTGTTGTATTTTTAGTATTCTGCTTAATAGGGTTGGACACCCATTTATGTTTGTTGGCCACTTGTATTTTTTTCTGTGATATACCTACTCATATCCTTTACCTGTTTTTCTATATTGTCTGTCTTTTTCTTATCCAGGATAATTAAAGAAAAACAGTCCTTTGTTATATATATATATCTTTGTTTTATATACATCAAATATTTTCTTTTTGTTGATCTCTTGCCTTTTAACTTTGTTTATGGGATCTGTTATTGAATAGAAGTTTTAAATTTTGAGGTCAAATTTATCAATCTTCTTTTTTTTACTTTTGACTTTTGTGTTTTGTTTAATAAGATCTTCCATATGCCAAGGCCATAAACCTTCTTCTGTGTTTTTTAATACTTATATGGTGATTTCTTCTTTTTAAAAAAATATATTTTATTGATTTTTTTACAGAGAGGAAGGGAGAGCAATAGAGAGTTAGAAACATCGATGAGAGAGAAACATCGATCAGCTGCCTCCTGCACACCCTCTACTGGGGATGTGCCCATAACCAAGGTACATGCCCTTGACTGGAATCGAACCTGGGACCCTTCAGTCTGCAGGCTGACGATCTATCCACTGAGCCAAACCAGTTAGGGCTGATGATTTCTTCTTTAAAAAATATGTATTCATTTATTGATTTCAGAGAAGAAGGGAGAGCGAGAGGGAAACATTAATGATGAGAGAGAATCATTGATTGGGGGCCTCTTGTACACCCCCTACGGGGGATGGAGCCTGCAACCTGGGCATGTGCCCTGACCAGGAATTGAACTGTGCCCTCCTGGTTCACAGGTCAATGCTCAACCACTGAGCCACACCAGCCAGACAATGCACCCCAGAATTTTAAAGTAAACAACAGATCCAGTCTGGCCATACAAAAACAAAACAACAACAGATCCAGTCCCTCCAACTTTTTTAAAAATATATTTTATTGATTTTTTACAGAGAGGAAGGGAGAGGGATAGAGAGTTAGAAACATTGATGAGAGAGAAACATCGATCAGCTGCCTCCTGCACACCTCCTACTGGGGATGTGCCCACAACCAAGGTACATGCCCTTGACCAGAATCGAACCTGGGACCCTTCAGTCCTCAGGCCGACGCTCTATCCACTGAGCCATACCGGTCAGGGCAACTTTTTTTTTAAATAACAGAGTTTGTAGAAAGTAAGGGATGAACGCTGCCTTCAGCTTACCCCTTTGTTTAAACAAATGTTTAGAATCAAATATTTGAGTTCCCAGATTTTAGGAATGTATTAAAGCACAGAGAAAAGAAGACTAAAGGATTAATGATTACTTGTGAATAAAATCTAACAGGCTTTGTCAGGTTAGCATAAAAATGCATTAGAAGTAAAGCTTATGGCTCATGTTAGTAGAAAATAAAAAAATCAAAGATATATTTAGTCTGATCAATTTGATTCTGCTAACAAATCCCATTTAGAAATTACCCAAGTATTCTTTGGAAAGCATCACCTGCATATCCAGTCCACATGACACCAGGCTCTGAGGCCTTTGAGGCCGAAAAGCCACAGAAGAACAGATGTTGGAATGTCTCTTCAGTGATCTGCTAACTTTCTTATTTTCCAAGTCTAGGATTTTGATTGCCTCGGAGTCATCAGCAGAAGCCAGCAGATTTTCAGTTTCATTCAATGAAAGGCAATTGATTTCTTCTTCATTCACATGAAAATTGTCCAGGGAACCTTTGAGGGAGCTGACATCCAGTATGCTAATAGTTTCTCCATGCGAGGTATAGAGCTTGGTGGGGCAGGAGGGAGAGAATAAGACACATGTAATGTCGTTGGCCCCTTCAAAGCTTATGTGTCCCAATGGAGTCCCATCTTCACCCCAAGCCATGAGATCTCCATCCTCTGCTCCAGAAGCCACTAGCCCTTCTGAACTTGCATTCAGGCAGAGAATAGGAGAAGAATGTCCACCAATCCACTTGACGGCCATAACAGCTCAGAAGACTGCACTTCCTGCTTCCCTCCACAGCACCTCTTGATGACCTTTTATATGATGATTTCAATCTTTAATCCAGCTAGGATTTATTTTTGTGGATGGTGTGAGAAACCTATATTTTGTTGTTGTTTGTTTCCAAAGAACTTTCTGTCTTGGAACATAGCAGAGAATAGCAGGATATTAGAATTGTAAATCTCCAGGACTCCTCAATTAAACTCTTGTCCATGATGTGTTCTAACCTTAGCAATGGGACACACTTGATAGGGGGGTGGCATTTCCTATAAAGAAGGATCCCATTCAGAGCCCAACATTCCCACACCCAGCTCTCCTCCACTAATCAGTGAGAACTTCCTATATGGCACTGGTCCTTTCCTGGCCTACATTCTAATGCTGGGAAGAGGTGGCATATGGGTGAGCTTAACATCTTCCTAGAGAAATCCTCATCTGGGTTTCTTTCCCCCTGCTGCCCCCTCATTTGGGTTGACCAAAGGGAGGGAAAGAAGCGGATCTAGTTCCAGGTATCTTCTGGAGGGTGGAAGTGGAAGAGTCATCTAGCCCATTCAGACAAATAGCTCTTAAGGCAAGATAGCAGAAAAATCACTAGGTGCTCGCTCTGCACTTACTCTGGAGAAGAAGTTCTTTGAGCCTTTTTTGTTTTAATGGGTAGTCCTAAGGGTTTTGTTGAGGCCAACCATCTTTAGGATCCAGTTTGTTCCTCCATTTTTTTCCTTTTAAAATGGGTGTGTTAATTCCTGTTGCTGCTGTAACAAATTACTACAAACTTAGTGGATTAAAACAGCACAGGTTTATTATCTTACAGCTTTGGAGGTCAGAAGTCCAAAAATAGGTCTTATGGGGCTACAATCAATGTGTTTCTAAGGCTGTGTTCCTTCTAGAGGCTCTAGGGGAGAATCTAAACCTTTCCTTTTCCAGCTCCTAGAGGCTCTCTGCATTCCTTGGCTTATGGTACCCTTCCGTCTTCAAAGCCTGCATTCTCCACTCCAACTTCTACTTCGGTTTTCACATCTCCTTTTCTGACTCACCTGCCTTCCTCTTTCACTTATAAGGACTCTTGTGATTATGTTGAGGCCACCAAGATAATCTCCCTATCTCAAGGTTTTTAACCTAATAATATCTTCAAAATATTTTTTTCTCTTTTGCCATATAAGGTAAAATATTCACAGGTTCTGGGAATTAGGACATGGACACTTTTTGGTCTTTAGCTACCACAGTGGGTTACTTCAGCAGAAGACTATACTTATTCATTAGATATTGATTTATAGTATGGAGAATAATACCTTGGTTTTAGGCTTGTAGGATTATCTGTAACAGAATTTGTAACACTTCCATAATAATTTTCCAATCATATTCTGTCTGCCTTTGGTTGGATATAGAGCAGTGATGGCGAACCTATGACATGCATGTCAGAGGTGACACGCGAACTCATTTTTTAAAAAAAGACTCAGTTTCTTTTTTTCCTTTTTAAAAAAATATATTTTATTGATTTTTGGCAGAGAGAAAGGGAGAGAGATAGAGAGTTAGAAACATCTATGAGAGAGAAACATTGATCAGCTGCCTCCTGCACATCTCCTACTGGGGATGTGCCCACAACCAAGGTACATGCCCTTGACTGGAATCGAACCCGGGACCTTTCAGTCCACAGGCCAACGCTCTATCCACTGAGCCAAACCAGTTTCGACTGTGAACTCATTTTTTTGGTTGATTTTTCTTTGTTAAATGGCATTTAAATATATAAAATAAATATCAAAAATATAATCTTTGTTTTACTATGGTTGCAAATATCAAAAAATTTCTATATGTGACACGGCACCAGAGTTAAGTTAGGGTTTTTCAAAATGCTGACACTGATATAGAGGCATTATGAGGTAGAAGAGGAGAAGCTCACAAAGGAAGTTGAGGAATGGAAGAGATATAGGAGGAAAACCAAGTGGGTAAGGTGTCATGAAAGCCAAGGGAACAGAGTATTAACAGAAGGAAGGAAGGAGTACATTTAATACTGTATTAAATGATTCTGAGAGACCAAAGTAAGATGAGGACTGATAGGCATCTGTTACATTTAGTTAGCTTTGCAATAGCTATTTTTGTGGATTTATAGGAAATGGGAAGAACACTGAGTACATAGCTCATCCAAGAATTTTTAAAAATTTATTTTATTAACCAATGTCACCCAATAAATTCAATAAAAAATAAAAAGAATTTTCAAATTTTTCTTTATTGATGAGAGAGAGAAACATCAATTTATTGTTCTACTTATTTATGAATTCATTGGTTGATTCTTTTTTTAAAAAAATCCTCACCAGAGGATATTTTTCCATTGCTTTTAGATAGAGTGGAAGGGAGGGAAGGAGCAGGAGGGAGAGAGCAAGAAAGAAACATCAAAGTGAGAGAGACACATCGATTGGTTGCCTCCCAAACATGACCTGATGGGGTCGAGAACAAACCTGCAACTCAGGTATGTGCCCTTGACTGGGAATCAAACCCAGGACCCTTCAGTGTGTGCGCCAACGCTCTAATCACTAGCACCCCAGCCAGGGCACGTATACATCCAATTTTTAAAAAATTGTTGACACTGATTGATTCTTGTATGTGTCCTAACTGGGGATCAAACTTGCAACCTTGTTGTATAGGCACAATGTTCTTAACCAACTGAGTTACCTGGCCAGGGCTCAAAAATTTTCTCTGAAGGAGTAGAGAATGGCAGGATAGAGTTGAGAAAGGATTTTTTCCCCTAAAATTGAGAGAGATGTGCCCAGCCAGTGTATCTCAGTGGTTAAGCATCAACCTATGAACCAAGAGATCATTGGATGAATTCCAGTCAGGGCACATGCCCGGGTTATGAGCTTGATCCCCAGTAGCGGGTGTGCAGGAGGCCACCGATCCATCTTTTTCTCTCATGGATGTTTCTATCTCTCTATCCCACTCCCTTCCTCTCTCTCTAAAATCAATAAGAACATATTTTGAAAAAAAGTTGAGAGAGACTTGAGTCTATTTAAATGATGATGGAGAGGAGCCAGTTGAGCGGGTGAGGTTTATGATACAGAAGAAACTTTGAGTTCTCATGGGTTCAGTAATCTGATTCCTAAATGTGTGGTTCTAATCAGAGCTCTCTCCCAAATCCCAGACCTGTATAATCCAATTCTCTATTGAACACATCCACTTGAAAATCCTTCTCAAACTTAAAATGTCCAATATTAAACAAGCCTCTGAACTGATGGTCGCCAGATGGGAGGCAGGTTGGGGGTCTGGGTGAAAAAGGTGAAGGGATTAAGTATAAATTGGTAATTACAAAATAGTCACAGGGATGTAAAGTACAGAATAGGGAATATAGTCAATAATATTGTAATAATTATGTATGATGCCAGGTGGGTACTAGACTTATTGGAAAGATCACTTAGCAAGTTACATAAAGGTCTAACCACTATGCTGTACACCTCAAACTAATATAATATTGAGTATCAACTGTAATTGAATTTTTTTTAATTTTAGAAAAATTCTCTGTTGTTCCTTGCCTTCCCCCTTTTATTATTTATCTTCTGGATTACTAAAGTAGCTTTCAAAGTGGCCTTTTTATGTCTACAACTACTGACAAATTTTTTGCACATCAGCTAGAGTGATCTTTCTAAAACTTATAGGTGACTCCTCTAAGCTTTAAAAATTCCATATTGTTTTTACTGTAAAAGCCAAATCTTCTTATCTTTATGAATTCTGTGCTTCAAACCTGGTGAATTACCAGTTCCCAGAGAAAGCTATGTTCTCTCATATGTCCATGCTTTCATATATACAATTGCCTCTGCCTATAATACCCTCTTCATCTTTTTGTTCCCACCCACATTTTTCTTGGCTAATTTCTACTCATCTTTCAAAACTCATTTCAGGCTTTCCTTTCTACTTCCTTTGGAAGCCTTCCTTGTTTTTCCAAGGCTGGGATTAGGTACCCCTCTGTATGTTCGAAGCACCTGTGCTTTCTGGTATGCCTTTGTGTCCCCACAGCACCTGTTCCTTCTTTACTTACCATACTTTCTGTAGATGACCCATTCATTTTTTCAACTACAATTTATATTCAATATTATTCTGTATTAATATCAGGTGTGCAGCATCGTAGTTAGACAGTCTTATACTTTATAAAGTGTTCCCTCTGATATTTCCAGTACATGCCTGGCACCAGACATAGTTATTACAATATTGATTATATTCTCTATGCTGTACTTTACATCCTCATGACTATTTTGTAACTACCAATTTGTACTTTTTAATCCCTTCACCTTTTTAAAAATAAATCTTTATTGTTCAGATTATTACAGTTGTTCCTCTCCCCCCCCCACCCATAGCTCCTCTCCACCAAGTTCCCACCCCATCCCATGCCCTTACCCCACCCCCACTGTCCTCATCCATAGGTACAAGATTTTTGTCTAATCTCTTCCCGCACCCTCCACACCTCCTTCCCCTCAAGAATTGTCAGTCCACTCCCTTTCTATGCCCCTGATTCTATTATATTCACCAGTTTATTCTGTTCATCAGATTTTTTATTCACTTGATTTTTAGATTCACTTGTTGATAGATATGTATTTGTTTTTTATAATTTTTATCTTTACCTTTTTCTTCTTCCTCTTCTTAAAGAATACCCTTCAGCATTTCATATAATACTGGTTTGGTGGTGATGAACTCCTTTAGCTTTTTCTTATCTGTGAAGCTCTTTATCTGACCTTCAATTCTGAATGATAGCTTTGCTGGGTAGAGTAATCTTGGTTGTAGGTTCTTGCTATTCATCACTTTGAATATGTCTCGCCACTCCCTTCTGGCCTGCATAGTTTCTGTTGAGAAATCAGCTGACAGTCGTATGGGTACTCCCTTATAGGTAACTAGCTATTTTTCTCTTGCTACTTTTAATATTCTCTCTTTGTCTTTTGCCCTTGGTATTTTAATTATGATGTATCTTGGTGTGGTCCTCTTTGGATTCCTCTTGTTTGGGGTTCTCTGTGCTTCCTGGACTTGTAAGTCTATTTCTTTCACCAGGTAGGGGAA